CACTCCTTCATCATACATATGAAAGTAAGTGAAAAGAAGAAAACCCACTACTTTTTCATTTTTTTTGTAGTTTTCCTTAAGTCCTTTTGCTAGGATAGGACAGTTTTGATGGTTGAAGAGTGTTTGAGTTGGCTCCATCATTATCAGATGGGCCTTTGCCGTTTAGTGTTTCATGGCATTTGTGTATTTTTTTTGTAGGAAAGGGAGAAAAATCCTTCTCATATTGATAGGTTTGTAGAAAAAACCTATTCGCTGGAACGTTCAGGACAATTTAATTACACAGCAAAGCAGGACCCGAGTAGGCAAAGTTCTTCATATTTCTCGTGCACGGAAGAGAACTGGACAAACGCCGTTCCTTTGTTTGACCCCAGTCGCTCTCGTCTGCTCCCCTGTAACACTGCTCTTTTATCGAGGTTACATGAATATACATAGGTTCATTAACATATGACGTCTAAATACAAACAAATGCCTGTGCGTTGTGTAAGTATGTGTGTGTGTGGGGTCAGAGTGTGACCCGATAAATGACTTCTCTAAACCTGCTGGTCTGGAAGTCCAGCAGTTCATCTAAACAAAAGGCACATAGCCTAAAACAGACATAGATACGTTTATCCTACCATAAAACAATAAGACAAGGTACGACCTCTCCCATGCTCCCAATGTATGGGTGTGAATGCCAGAGCACTCTGGAATGCACACAACGTCTCTGCAGACTATCAAGGATCAAGAAATCAAAAAGGCAAAGCGAATCCCCTTAATAAGAAAGCCTGCATCTCTAAAAGTACAACATAGTGTAAATTACTTAAATATTGATACACTACTTAAAATTACTGTAATTATTTTTTTAATTGCAGTAAAAAATGAATTGTTACCCCTTTATTATAACATACTGTATTTGCCAGGAAGCATTTGTAGATAAAAATAATTTAATTGTAATTTCAGATGCATGTTGAATCATTGTATTTTGCTAGCACAGATTATGTTAGCTGGGGTACTTACAAGTGTGGCAACCATGTAAAAACCTGTGTATGTGTGTGCGTGCGTGTAGGTATGCTGCTGGCAGGTCTGCTATTGCGTAATGTTCCTTACATAACAGACGCCATCTTCATCGACACTCACTGGTCTGCAGCTCTGAGGAACATCGCCTTGTCCATCATCCTGACCAGGGCTGGTCTGGGCCTCAACCCTGAGGTACATGTACATTTAAATATCAGTCTAAGTTAAGTT